CTCTCAACGCAGTCTAGCATTCGCGTGGCCATCTCCTCAATGGATTAGGTACCGTCCTTGGGCTTCCTTTCTTTTTCCATTAGTGACCCGACTCTACCTTTTAAAAATCCCCCCACTGCCATCAAGGCGATTCTGACTCAGATTCAGTAGGACGCTTAATCTTTGCGGGAGTCGAAAGCCTCATCTTTCTCCCATAGAACGACTGGTGGGTTAGAACTGCTGACCGTGCAGGTAGCAGCCCAAAGCCTAACCACGACCACGAGGGCGCTCGTTGATTGCGGGCCCCACTGTGCACTGAAGCACCCTGCCTTCACCTTGGTATTTAACGGCTAAGATCCGAGGAGCTTAGCATGGATCAAAAAGGAGAACCCAAGACTTAGTTTATGGCAGGGAACTCATAAATGTAAATCAGGGAGATTTGGGGACAATTTTGTTGTAAAGAAAAATAAAACGTGTCTATAACCTGTATTTCTAGTTTCACAATGTTCGGGGACCTATTTGAAGAGGACTATCACAGTGTTTCAAATAATCAGTATGAAAGGGGAAAGAAATTAAAGACTAAAGCTTTGGACCCTCCAGCCCCTAGAAAATTCACAAATTTAAGTGGAATCAGAAATCAGGGTGGAACCTGCTACCTCAATTCTCTTCTTCAGACGCTTCATTTCACACCTGAATTCAGAGGTATGGTATGTTAATGTGCATTTGATTAGTACTGTGTACAGTTGTCTCTACCTGGAATTAGCTGTGCAAAATCACAAAGACAACTTGTAAAGGTGTATTTCACCTTGGGTGTTTATTGTTGCAAATGACAACCTTTGGGCTATTCTTCTGCAAAGAAATAGGAAGCTTAAATTACCTTAAGTATGGATAGTGGGATCATACTAGAGTTTAGTAACAAGTAGTAAATAAGGCCATATAATTCTCGTAGACATCTCTTATAAGCACTTAAGGCAGTGGTTACCCAAACTCGTGGGGGGAAAGGGCATCATGATGGTGAAACAGGTCCACCAGTGTTCTTGTGCAAGTCTGAGCTCCAGAAAGCCCTGACGTCATGAGCTGATCCAGCCTGGACTTGTTTGACCTCAGAGCCTGTCCTGATGTGAATGTCCATGCATTGGTTATAGAAATTTTAATTTCCTGGTTCAATGAGTACTATCTCTTTTAGATCCTGGAGTAGGGTTAGTAGGCATAGTCCATTCCCATTACCTTCCTAAGAAATTCTGAATTTCTGAGCCTCAAGGTTGTAACATAAGGGAATATGTTCAAGGGATAGAAAGCTATGCAAGTCCCCTCAGTTAAAAATGAGGTTTATTGTAAGAATATAGGAACCTTCCACAGAAGCCAGCCTGACCTTAGTGGACCTGCGGTTCTCAACCTGTGGGTTGCGACCCCTTTGGGGGAGGTCGAACAAGCCTTTCACAGGGGTCGCCCGATTCATAACAGTAGCAAAATTGTAGTTATGAAGTGGCAAAGCAAATAAATTTTTGGTTGAGGGGGTCACCACAATATGAGGAACTATATTAAAGGGTTGCGGCATTAGGAAGGTTGAGAGCTGCTCCTCTGCACAGTTGTCCCAATCTCGTATCTGCACAAACAGGCTTTCTCTACAGCGATCTGTGCCCATTACTTTGCTGTCACATGAGCCTGGTAGGGCCTCCGATCCCATGGCTGGGTAGCTCACTTCTCCACAGGGTCTCTTTTCAGAGGAGACGCAACATGGCCAACAACTGGTTTATCCCATTTCCATTCTCACCGCTATGACTTGGCCTATCTAAGCTTTGAAAGACCACAAAGATGATTCATCCTCAGAAATCTGGATAACTGCTCTGTCCCAGGCCAGTTTACTGGGTGGGCTGGTGTGTGGGATTCAAGAAGCGTTCTCCTCGCTGCTTAAAAATGCCTCCCTGCTGCCATCAGTTATCCCACCGTCGCTTTGGAGAAGAGCAGGAGCGAGCCATGGACAGCACCACTGAGCAAGGATCAGAGGGGTGCCCTAGACCATCCTCTGGTGCCCAGGAGACTGCCAGCCAAGTCTGTGGTTTGGCATCTTAGTGAAAATGATGCCCCCTTGGGGCTTCGGGAGCCCCAAGATGGACCAAGAAAGATTTTGTGTGAAAGGATACAGACTGGAGGAGAACCATTTTGGAGCAGAGAGCGCAGGTCTAGATGGGGCTCCCTGTGGGAAGCAGCACTGAAGGAAATAAGACTGGCACTTATTTCCTGACTGGTACGGAGGGAATCTGGAAGACTAGTATTCCATGGCAGGAAGACCACCACTCTGGTAGTTGGAGATATACTCAAGTGCATTTTCCTGCGGTAGTCTATCATTTCCCACATCCACATTAAAAAAATGCTGCAAGAAAGCAAACTGTCAGGTCAGGATATAAATCCTGCCATAAGCCTGCAGCTGATTTCACTTCATGGTGGTGTTGGCTTTCTAAGACAGTTTCCTAAAGTGAAATAATCAAATCTCTGATTCTCCTGTTTTTGTGTAGAAGCTCTATTTTCCCTTGGTCCTGAAGAACTCGGTTCTTTAGAGGATAAAGATAAGCCTGATGCAAAGGTATTATTACGTCTATGATTTATGGGGGTGTGGGGGGAACAGGAGGGGGATTGAGTATTGAAATGCTTTTTTTGTTTTGTTTTTTTAAGGAAGCAATTAAGTTCCTTATTTACAGAAAATAGACACTTTATTAATTACCAAATGTGAGTTTTATTTTCAGAAAGTGACTGGATCTATCACCAACTATTGTTAATGCAGTTGTCCTGATCCCAAATTTGAAATGTTCAACTATATCACTGCTGTTGTTTTCTATATAATTGACCGCTTTGTACACTGTTTATTCTTGTGGGGATGAAAACATGTACAAATCTTCCACACTAGCTTGCTAAGCAAACGAGTGCACTTTCATGGAACAACAACAGAATAAAGATGTGTTCAGTACTGGTGTTCTGAAAATAACTGGAACAGGTGAAATAATTACCTGTAAGGTACTCTGGTGACGTTTTTATTGAAAATCCAGATCCTGCATAAAATTCTGTCCTTTCTTTGCTTAAAAAAAATCAAGTCAAAAAATGAGGCACATATACCATGGGCTCAAGTAGAAAGCAAATGTTTTAATAATGATGATGGCAACAATCGTACAAATATGCTTGACACTGGATGGATTGTGATGATGTGGTGTATGGATTGTGTGAGCCCCCAATAAAATGATTTTTCTTTTAAATAGTTCCACTGAACAAAAATATTTCCTCATTTTAAAATTCTGCTTGAATTTGCAGGATAGGTTAATGAACTTCAAGCCACATATCCTTGTTATTTGTGGAGTTTCGTTTTCCTCTTGCAATAAAAATAATATTCTATAACAAAATATAACCTCAACATTTAAAATAAATTGGTGAAACAAACAACAAAAATCAGAAGTTGCTGATTTTAGTATTATCTTTGTACTTAATAGATCCACCCAAGGCTTTTCAAACCACCTGTGTGGCAGAGGTCCAGAGAGAGGAGAGAGAGTGTGTGTGTGTGTGTGTGTGTGTGTTTTAATTCCCAATATGCTGGGGTCAAGACATTTGTAAGTTAACATTAAAATGCCCTGGCCACGTAAAATTGCCATCAAAGTTTCTGAGTGCGTCATCTCACTTGGGATATTGATAGTGTGGTACATGGACCAAACTTGACGTCACTGGCCTGCCCGGCCCCTCTTGGGCCTGTGTTACAGCCCTGCCCCTCAGCACAGAACATGGGAGGGCCCCAGCCTTAGATCGGGCTGAATGCAAGCAAGGCCAGGTGCAGCCACCCCCACTGAGAACTGCAAAGTGGATGTTCATCCTGGAAAAGTATATGGCTGTGTCTGTATCTGAGCTCAGAAAGGATGGGCACTTGGAGATTTAAATTATGATCCTTCTGTAATTAACTGGATGGTTTAAAGTTTTAATATTGATCTGAACTGTGTCAAGGTAGAAAACTCCAGATGACAACTTTTGGGGTTAAATTGAGATTTTCAAAATGACAACTAGAATCTTAATTAGTTTACCCCCTGTAAAAAGTTCTGTGAATGTTCTTCTGAATGAACTGATAGGAGATAGGGACCTAGTTTGCCCATTGAAGCCCACATTGAAAAGGGGCTTCAAGTAGAAATGTCCTGGTTTCCCTTTCAGGTTCGAATCATCCCCCTCCAGCTGCAGCGACTGTTCGCCCAGCTTCTGCTGTTGGACCAGGAAGCCGCGTCCACAGCAGACCTCACTGACAGCTTTGGGTGGACCAGCAATGAGGTACAAAGGGCAGCTTCGCCAAGGAAACAAAGGAACCAGTAAATGGTGCTTTCGTTGTGATTCCCTCACTTCCTTTCCCTTTGTCTCAGGGTTTCAAGACCTTGTATGTTTCCATCTCTGGTTACAAGTGTACAAGCCAGAAATACATTTTAGACCCTGTGACTGGCTGTAATGTGGTGGGAAGAAGGTTGTGCAGACAGATGTCCACAAGCTGATTTTTACCGTTTCTACCCTGGAAACCGTTGCTGTCTAATCAAGAAGCAGTACCACATGCGTATTAGTCTGTGACTCGCAGCAGTGGACAGCAAACTCTCCCTGCCTTTGTGATGTGCTGCTGTCTTTGCGTCTGGCTATTGTGATGTGGCCGCAGTGAAACCCTTCTTGTTGGTCTTCACCCTTTCGGCTCTTCAGTCCTTTCTCCTGACTCTTCCTCTCCTCTCCTGGTTGTTTCTCTCCTTTTCGTGTGTGTCTTCATGAAAGGTGTTCCATTGGTGTAAATTCTAAGCCTTTGTCATCCACAGATGAAGCAGGAGTGGGCAAGGTCAGTCCAACTCCACCAGTTCCTCGGAAGAGAGAAGGCTTTGTGCTTCCATATGATCTGCAGCCTCAGAAACCCAGAGGGCAGTTCTGCTCTGCCCATTGGGTGCTAGGACTCAGAGACAGGATTGATGAGATGGCAGTGGGCTGGGCTTTGGGGTCTGTGCACTCAGTCAGAGCCAGCTGTCTGACTTTTTAGGCAGTGGCTGTAACCCTTCAAAATTAGGGGTGTGCAGACTCTCACGGAATTTCAAGAAGGGTTGGTAGGAGTGGTGCTGTGTGGGAAGAAATGCCCCTTAAAGAATCCTGTTAAATTTCTCTTACACGGCAGATGCCATCAGTTCGTGCCTTCTTCCTGTTTTTTAAAAACATTTCCTAAAATAAAATTCACCCCGTGCTGACCAGCTTCAGAATCCTGGTACCACTCCATTTCTATTGATGCCACCCTAACCCACCCCCTTCCCACCTCTGACCAGCTCCTGGCAAACACTAGCCTGCATTGTTTGTCTATTGGGGACATTGCCTCTAAGTTGCAGGACCCAGTATGTGACTGGCTACGATCATTTAGTGTGCTGTTTCCGGGCCAACCCTGTTTTAGGATACATTAGTGCTTCTTGTCCAAGTTTATTGCCCAATAGTTACATCTTAAACATCCACCCACCCACCAGATGGATTTCCTTTTGGGGTGCTTCCACTAAGGTGCTGGTTTCAGCTTTATTAAAACTGTGAAGACCTCTTTTACTGAAAAAAGAATGTTTAAGTAGAATCTTGCAGGAAAGCCTTTAGGAGTAGTGCTGAAGTGATGGAAGAATGTTTTGCAAGCACTTTTGCCAAACACCGGCCTTTGCAGAAACAACGCGACACCTTCCAGGCTTTCTGTGCTGCCAGAGCCAGGTCTGCAGGGGAAGACCAGTTCCTCCCACCCCAGCCCCGTCCAGTTTTCATCCTCCCCATTTTATCAGTGGTCTTGCCTCGACTGCTGCGCTCTCTCCTCCACCGTCATCGCTCTGCCTCCTGTCTCTCTTGTTGGAGTTTCCAGGTCCCGCTCGCCTGGGTCCTTCCAGCTGCTCTTCCTCTGTGGGCTGCCGCCTTCACTTTACAGGTCGGCAGGCTCTGGATTTTCCTTTAGAAATGGGTCTGACGGAGCAGTTCGGTCTGTTAAACCTAGCTATAGGGTTCACTCCGTAAACTCCCTGCTGTGCAGTTCATTCTGACATACAGTGACCCTCCTGTAGGACAGGGTAGAACTGTCCCTTTGGGTTTCCGAGGCTGTAACTCTTTACAGTCTCGGAAAGCCTTGCCTTTCTCCTACGGAGCTGCTGGTGGTTTTGAACTGCTGACCTTGCAATTGAATGCCCAGTGGGAAACCCGACACCACCAGGGCTCCTTTGCCTCACACAATAGGTGAAAGAAGTTTTTCTCAGTAGTCCTGTGCTAGTCTTATTTCAGCTGGTCTCTATTCACACGAGTTGTGGATTTGGGGATGGGGAAATTATTGGTGGTTCACTGAATGGGTTGCTGTGACCCAGTGGGACAAGGCCACCCCGGCACCACTGACTTTTCGTGGCTGGTCTGGGCCTGCTGCGTTCCCTCCTCCCCTCACTGGCATGCCAGGAGCACAGACTTCCCCACAAGAACAAATGTGCTATCATTTTACCAAGCGAGTAGGGCTTGCCATGGAGAACCTGCCCTCAGCCGGTGTGGAATTGTCCTCTGGAGATCTAGTCAAGCTCGCCTTCCGATTGCTTGATAAGGTCTAGTGGGTTTTTTAACTAACCTTGTTCCTGAAACCTGCAGCCTCAAGTTACCTTGAAAACTCGCCTGTTTTGTAGGAAAGGCGGCAGCATGACGTGCAGGAACTGAACCGGATTCTCTTCAGTGCTTTGCAGTCGTCTTTAGTTGGGACCTCAGGCCACGACCTCATCCACCGCCTGTATCACGGGACCGTTGTCAACCAGGTTGTTTGCAAGGACTGCGGGAACATTAGTGAAAAGCAGGTGGGTTTCAGACAGAAGTTGTAGAGCAAATTGATGCAGTTAGTGCAGAGGTCAGTAGTACCAGGTGAGGATGGAAGCTTTTATTGCTGGAAATAATTTAGCTTTTTTCTTTCTCTACTTGCCATTCCTTTATAATCTAGATTCTCCATGTAAACTTTGAAGGAAGCACATTTAAACCTTCTTCAAACCCTTCTTTAGTCCCCTCATATTTGGGCATAAGACTTATGGGGTCTTTGCAAATAACAGACTCTCGCTTCATCAAGGAAACTGGTTTCATTGGGGTTGGTGGTTAGAATATTATACAGCAAATGGACTAGGGAAGTGATAAAAGTAGGGAATACTGAAGAAATTGGAAGGGACCAACATCTACAATTAATTAAGCCTTGGATTTAGTTTTTTGTTGACATCCTTCAGAAAGTTCATTTGTATGTGCATGCTTATGTGAGCTGTTATAATCCTCTTCTTAACGAGCATAATTTCTTGTTCCCTGTAATGACCCAAATTGCCTATTTGATATCATTGGAATTAGAGATTGGAGATTAGCTCATGTGAATCTAGTAAGCTCTTCTGCACCAGCTGGGTTCATTGCTAGCAGTCATTCGGAAACTTTTGTCTTTCCAGCAATTATGGAGCACTTCTGGGTTCAACTGTATTAGTAAAATAGTAATTCAGTGCCATTTCCCAACCTCTTCCAAATGTTGCATGAATTATACTCATGGTGTCCGTCCCCCTACCCCCCCCCAAAAAAATCCACTGCCATTGAGTCAGTTGTGACCCTAGGGGACCCTATAGGGCAGGGTAGGACTGCTCCTGTGGATTTTCAATTCTGTAACTTTATAGGAATAGAAAGTTTTATCTACTGCTACACACACCCGCCCACATCTTTTTTTTTTTTTTTTTTAAGAAAGTTGGGGCTTACAGTCAGGGTGCAGTATAGCACTGATGAAACATACAACTCTCTTCTAATTCTTTAAGGCTTCCTCCCCTCCCCACTATCATGATCCCAATTCTACCTTACAAATCCGGCTAGACTAGAGCATGTACGCTGGTACATTGAAGATCTGGAAACATAGGGAATCCAGGACAGATAAACCACTCAGGACCAATAATGAGAGTAGTGATACCAGGAGGAGAAGGGGAAGGTGTGGGGGGAGAAAGGGGGACCGGATCACAATGATCTACATATAACCCACTCCTGGGAAGACGGACAACAGAAAAGTGGGTGAAGGGAGACATCAGTCAGTGTAAGACCTGAAAAGATAATAATGTATAAATTATCAAGGGAGGGTAGAGGAGGACGGGGGAAATGAGCTGATTCCAAGGCCTCAAGTTGAAAGAACATGTTTTGAAAATGATGGCAACAAATGTACAAATGTGCTTGACACAGTGAATGTGTGGATTGTGATGAGTTGTACGAGCCCCCAATAAAATGATTTCAAAATTAAAATGAAATAAAAAAGAAAGTTGGAGCTTAAACACTTCTTAACTTTTATTGTCTGAGTAAATAGAAATTTCTGGCTACCTAGTTTGGAAATAGTTGAGCTGCTTTATGTATCTTTGAATTATAGTTAACTTGGCTCTAATACATAGTTGAACTGCTTATGTATCTTTGAATTATGGGTAACTTGGCTCTCAAATTTACGAAGTAATTTGAGAATATATTGCATATGGAGGCACATTATAAACTATAGATGTTAGCTTTTTGGATACATATATTAAAACCATGTAAAAGTTACTTTTATTAAACTTTCCTCCATGAGCTGACATGCCCTAATAGTTTACAGTCACCGTTATCCCTTGAAATAACACTAATAGTAATTAGAGTAGTGATGTCATGAGGGTAGGGGGAAGTGGGGGAGACGGGGGAGAAACAGGGAACCCGCTGCAATGATCGTCATAAAACCCCCACCAGGGGGATGAACAGCATAAACATGGGTGAAGGGAGACAGCAGACAGTGTAAGATATGAAAACAGTAATAATTTTATAATTCACCGGGTTCACCAGGCTAGGAGGGTGGGGCAGAGAGGGAGGGAAAACAGAGGAGCTGATAGCAAGGGCTCACACAGAAAGAAAATGCTTTGAAGATGAGGACAACATATGTATAAACGGGTTTGATACAGCTGGTGTATGGATTATTATAAGAGCTGTAAGAGACCCCAATAAAATGATTTATTCATTAAAATAATACTGTTGTACACATGAACACAACTGAGTGTGATGAAGATGTGAAATGTTAAGGGGTTCTACTAGAAATAGATTGCAAGTGAGCTGCAGTGTTAAGGGAACGTATAGCCAATTTGCAAAATTCCCTCTTAATTTTCATAGCAATTCTTTTTTGTACTGACTTAAGATCTTTATTTTCTGGTAACTTCTACACTGTATCTTACACCAACCCCAGCAAGAGAAGATGAAGAGTCAGCATGTAATTAGACATTTCCACACTGCCCTTCTCTCTCCACCTCTGCTTCTGCCTTGCAGTCCAGAGACTAAAACACCATCAACACCTTGGAGTCCACTGTGTTCAGTGGTTGGTTTCATTTCCTGACAGGTTTTATTGTTAGAAAACCAAATTCCTCATGAACTTTTTCCTCACATATTTTAAGGAGAATTTAGCATAATGTTTTAGGAAAGAAATAGCTGCTCATACTAGTAGTATATGCTGGTGGCATGTTTGTGGCCCTCTGAAATTGATCGTTTTTGGATACACTTGTGTATTTCAGGAAGACTTCTTAGATCTCACCGTGACAGTCAAAAACACGTCTGGTTTGGAAGATGCTCTGTGGAATATGTATGTAGAAGAAGAAGTGTTTGACTATGACAACTTATACCACTGTGGGGCCTGTGATCGGCTGGTTGAGGCGGTGAAGGTAGGTAATATGACTTACCTTGACTCATGGGGCCCACCTCGTGCTTCCTGCTCAGCACACATCGCGAGAAGTCAAGCTCTATGAAGGGCCTGCAGAGACTATACAGACCCCTACCCTGGTCACTATTGGCAATGAAAGTCGAACAGACTTTTCTGTTTCACATGTGTGTGTATATATATATATACACACATGTGTTTTACAGTACATTTTTAAAGCTTTCTACCCAGCAGGTTTATCTCCCCTCAACTTCCTTCTCTCCCAGAAAAATTTTATTGATGCCCAAGTGCTTCTGAAGTATAACTTTATAGATAAACTCTTACTTGTGCTTTTCAAAAATAACTCTTTAGAAGACAGCGAGGCTTTTATTTCGAGAGATTTCTTGAGATTTTTTTTTAGCTACAAAATTAGATTGTATTTTTCTCCTTATGCAGCTGTTTCCTAATAGTGGTATGTCTGTCCTCTCTCACACTAGCAAATCTTAGCAGGCCCTTCCCTCTTCTCCCAGTTGGGAGGTACTGCACCTTGAGGACCAGAGGGCTGTGCAGAGCAAAACAGCAAACTTCAGGTTGGGAGGAAGACGAGATCTCCACAGCCCATACCTTTTGCCATGTGAGAGCTCAGAGCAGAGATGAATGCACATGGGGTCCGGGCAGCTATAATGTGCAGCCACTCACGTCTAAATGACTCACGGTTAACCTTTTTGAGTCCCACAGAGAGGAGCCGCTCTGGAAAGAAGAATCTAGAGGCCACTCCCATGTTCACACGTCAGAAGGCTGCCACTCAGCTCCCTTGTGTTGTGGTTGTTGGGCCAGCACCCTAGTGGTCTTGCAAACCTGCTGCCAGGGCCTGCCCTCTCCCGGGTCACATGGAAGTCCCAGTGCTCTGCTAGGCAGGAGCTTGGGGTCCAGGCTCCCTCCTCTGTTTGCCTTTGAGTCATCAGCTACCAGCACAACTCTGGTGAACAAATGTTAGGAAAGCATTTTTGTGAAGATATTTTTTTCCTTTCACCTTTTCAAAAAGCTCAAACTCGATGCCCTTGAGCCGATTCCAAACTCATAGCGACTTGTATCGTCTAGCAACCGATTATTTATATTCCTTGTTTGCTGATTTTTCATAGATCTATGTGATTTCTCACTGTGGAGTTGTGTTTAAATATACTTTCCACACAATCGCTTGATTTTCACCCAAACCATTAAAACAGTACTGGTGGTACCAATAAATTACTAAGTACTACTAATTCTTTTAAGACATAGGCATTATTACCTCAGGTAATCTATAAGTTTGTAACGAGAGAGAGAGAGTGTGTGCGTGCGTGCGTGTGTGTTGGGGGTATAAACGCATTAATGCCAGGCTCCATAGTGTGTGTGTGTGTGTGTGTGGTGTGGTGTGTGTTGAGGGTATAAACTTATTAATGCCAGGCTCCATAGTGTGTGTGTGTGTGTGTGTGTGTGTGGTGTGTTGGTATAAATGCATTAATGCCAGGCTCCATTCCCCTGGCCCAAGTTTGCCATCTGTAGCCTTTGGCCCTCCTCCTCAGCCCCTTCTTTGTGTGCCAATACAGAGTTGCCATTGCGATGATCTTCAGTGTTAATTAAAAGGGAAGCTACCACAGGTCCCTCCTCAGCTTTGGAAACTCGAACTCCACGGCACTTGGCTGCAGTTCTTCATTGTTGGCACAGATGACTGTGACTGGGTGTCCTGAGCTTTGACTGAGACAACAAGCTGGACTGGTTTTTTTTCAAATACTTTTATTGGGGGCTCTTACATCTCATCACAATCCATACATTCCTCCAGTGTGTCAAGCACAGCTGTCCTGATTTTATATCTCAGAGGCCAGGAGTGGACTGTAATATGAGCAATCATTTTCACCCCATTGTTTTCACAGTCGGATTTAACACCGACTCTTTCTCTTTCTCTTTCTCTTGAGTTTGTATTTCTATCCACCTTCTAAAGCCCCTTCACGAAGCCCAGAAGAGAGCTTGATCGCTTCTTATCCGTGTCGTATTTTCCCTCGCCTGTTACAGCTACAGCCTAATAAACACTGGAGGCGAGAGAAGGTTGACAGATACCTGCATGTTTCCTACCTGGCTTTTGATGGAACTCACTTCATGTGGTTTCTTAGCAAGACCTTTGTGTTAAACAGAAGCTGGTCTCTTACCTCTCACTATTTGCATTATTACTGGCTTCATACTTCTGCAGTGGAAGAGTTTTGATCTTGATGACTTGCTGGAATCATGCCTGGACTTTGTGTGTGCTCTAAGTGTGGAGGGGGGGTCTGGGCATGCCCAGTCCCCAGTCACTGTCGTCACCCACTCACCCATCTCCCCAGCCCCAGTCCCAGCCACCTTTGTTCAGCTGAGTTACTCAAGAGTGTTAGATGCACTTCTAGAGTTTGCAACTGTTTTACTCTCTTGCGGTCTTCTCTTTATTCTCCCCTTCCCCTGCGTCTGTGGAATTATTGTTAAATACGTACATTTACAGTGGTGATGGATCCCCTTCAAGGCCCCTTAATCCCAGGGAAATGGAAAGGCTGATGACTCTCTGGTTAAAAAAAAAAAAGCATCATTTAGTATCTGGTTTTAAAGCAAGATTAAAGCTTTAAAAGAATTTTTTTTTTACTTTAAGCACACACACACACAAAAATCTTGATAGTGGGCTTTTCAGTGTATCGTCAGTGCCAGTAACAGAGTGCAGGCCAGCAGCGCTGGCCCTGGGGCATCGGAGTGAGTTGTATACGCGATGAAAGCTGTGCATCACCCGCCCATGCAAAGAGCATTTTAGAGGTTCCTGGGCCCGGGCTAGAACACCAGTTCTCCAGTCAGAAGAGCTGTGTGTCTGTAGGGACGGGGAGGCACAGAGGAGGAGGAGGAAAGGCTAGGGCTGGGCACCCCTGCCCAGCGGTTCTTGGGGCCGAGCGGAGCTCAGCAGTGAAGCCTAGCGGGGAAGTCAGTGCTGGCTCAGGAGTGTCGGTGAGGACATGCCCCTTTGGTCTCATGAAGCAGAGGGCTCTGACAAGATCAGAAGCCTCGAACCCCCAGTCAAGTTTATATGTTTTGAAAGCTGGCTTTAAAACTCAAGAGATTTCCTCTCTGCTGAGGAAGCATTATATGTGTCCCAGGTGTCACCTGGCTTTTAATAGAATTTTAACTTTTTTCGTTTAACAGTCGGCCAAACTACGCAAGCTGCCGCCGTTCCTCACTGTTTCGCTGTTAAGATTTAATTTTGATTCTGTGAAGTGTGAGCGCTACAAGGAAACTAGCTGTTACTCGTTTCCTCTCCGAATCAATCTCAAGCCTTTCTGTGAGCAGGTGGGAACTGTTTCACTCCGCCCGCTGCCCTAAGATTGAGTCTTCTGTTGATCTGAGTGTCAACAGTGAGCACTGGAATTAGGGGGGTGCCTTGTCATGGGGCGCTGTCCCTGCATTGTACGTGTTTGCAGCATCCCTAATGGATTCCAGTAGCCCTCCCCCTCAGCTGTGGCAACCACACGGTCCCCAGACATTTCCAGGGCTATCCGGTGTGGGTCATAGGGGGAGGAGAGGCCAGGCCCCAGTTGAGAGCCACTGGTTTGTGGCAGTCCTTTGAAATACAGATTTAGGCCTAGCTCCTTATTAACACTCTCTGAACTCTCTGGAGTGGAAATTTTAGAACAAGATTAGGAAATGCGATCCTGCCTTTGGAGGGTAAAAAAAACAAACTAACTAAAAATGATTCTGATTCACAATGACCCTGAAAGTCAGGGTAGACTGCCCCTGTGGCTCCGAGACTGTACATCTTTACTGGGGTTAGAAAGCCTCAACTTCTCCTGAGGGGGTGGTTGGTGGAATCGAACTGGTGACAAAAATCCTTGGCATCTTTATTCTCCTTTTATCATAATGTTGCCTATTAGTGCAGTGGTAAGGATTTTTGTTTTCCTTATATTGAGTTGTAATCCTCACTGGAGGCTACAATCCTCGAACTTCATCAGCAGGCGCTTCAATGCCTCACTTTCAACGAGCAAGGTCGTGTCGTCTGCATACTGCAGGCTAGTAGTAAGCCTTCCCCCAATCCCGACGCCGCACTCTTCATAGGATCCAGTGTCTCTGATCATTTGTTCAGCACGTATATGGAACAAGTATGGTGAGGGGATATAGCCGTGACGCACACCTTTCCTGATTTTAAGCCAGGCCACAGTCCCTTGTTCCCTTTGCACAACTGCCTCTTGATGTGTGCACAAGTTTCACAGAAGCACCAGGAAGTGTCATACGTGTTCCAAGCAGGAAAAGGTTGAAGTTGTCGGGATTTTGTCTTGCTTGGATCCACAGTTAATGTTTATGGAAGCAGCAATCAAGAGAGCAAAAGACCTATTGCATTAGGTAGATCTGCGCAAGACCTCTTTAGAGTACTGAAAAGCAAGGCCATTACTTGGAGGACTAAGGTGTTTCTGACCTAAGCCATGGTATTTTTAATCGCCTCATATGCATGTGAAAGTTGGACATTGAATAAGGAAGTAGTACAATCAATGCATTTGAATTGTGGTGCTGGACAAGAATATTGAAAGTAAAAAAAAT